ATTATTGAAGGCATTTTGGTGCCTTTTTTAAAATTTTCTTGTCAACTGTATAAATTTTTCTATTTTCTATAGACCTGCCAAATTTCATTAAAAGTATTATTGCGCACATACCAAATTATTCCGCGCTGTAGATGTACTTTTTTTATATAAAAAAATTCTTTAAAATAATCAAAAGTTTTCTTCAAAGAAAATTTAAACGAAGAAAAATCATAAGCAAATAAACAATAAAACTCTGATGAAAATCAACGTTAACCGAACGCGAATTTCATGAGCTGGTTGCATTTTCTTAAGGTGGCTCATATAGAAAAAAATACTAAACTAAAAAAATAAAATCGATTTTTTTTTTAATATACCATTCGACGCAAAATTTATCATACTTTCAGAAAATATGTACATTTTGCATTAAATATTTATAACTATTACCTTATTTTAACTTTTTTTTTATTGGTCAGTTTCATTGTTTTGCTGATAATTTCTATTTATCGACAAACTTTGGTCGTTGTTTTCTCAACTTTTTAATTTTATTCTTTTTTTGCAACTTCAAAACATAATATCTCGAGATTAAGAAAAAGCCTTTTGGCTGAAAGTTTCACTGTATGTTCCTTAATCATCAAGATTTCAGATGTACTAAAATAATTTACTAAGAATGGTTTTATGAATTTTTATAACACAAAACATGTTAATTTTTATGTATAAATTTGTGATTTTTTTAAGTAATGTGTCCCGTTTTTGATACTTTGATTATTATTTCATTCTTTTAGTAAAAATGAATGATTATAATGTAATAAAGCTATAAAACAAAAAATTATTGAGTTTAAATCAAAATTATTCAAGAAACATTGTTTTGAATTTTTTCACATTTATCCTTTTTACCTCTGATTTAGTTAAAATTTGCTTTAAATATAATTTGTTTACAACTTTTTTTACAAAATTTAAGCTTCATATATCATCAAAAGTATAATAAAATAATAATGAACTGTTACATGTTCTTTTTTAAAAAATTTGTTTTTTCTATATGAGCCACCTTAACATCCTTAACATAAAATATTGTTACTTAAATGGGCATAACTTTTGTAGGATTATTTGTTTGTCCTAAAATTTTCACAATCTTAATACAAATTTAAAACTCTTTCAAATCTTATACAACACTTATATATTGTTTGAAATTTTTACACACGTTCTGCGGGGCCGCCGGGAGCCGTCACGCCGCCCGGTAGCAACAGTGTCAAACAACATAGTGAGATTAAATAATAGGGAGTCAATGTTTTTTGACGTTTTTTTCAAAGGGGATATAAGGAAAAAGGTCAACCGGTATCAAAGAAGAAAAGGAAAGCCGGATCAAAAATTGTCTAAAAACGGTTACGTCTTTTATGGATAGCCTCTAACCAACAATAATCCATGACTTAATGATTAAATAAATAACAAGTTCTTTTTAAAATAAAATATTACAATATTTAGATTCAGAATAATAATATTTAGTCAGAGAAACACACCTTGATAATTACCTAACTTCTTTCGTGGAGACAAACGAGGCTCATGGCCATGGAAAATTTACGATTTTATTTCGAAATAAGGGAGTGTGCCCTCCCCCTCTCCTCCGCTTCGAAATCCATTGTTGTTGTCGTCGGCCCTTAAAATTAGTTATGACTGGTGAAACGGTAAAACCTTTTAAAGAAAATAGTAAACTTTTAAAAGACCAGTATTTTGCCTTGTTTGGATATAGTGAACATAATAAAAACGGAGTGCTTTCAAAAGCCAGTCACATAAAGATAAGGTGTTGAATGCGGAATATTATTTGCCGTTGGTACAGCATTAAACCTATGATGTACGAAAAAATTCTAAAAATTGATAGCAAAACAACTCAAAGTAAATAAATATATTAAAAGTTTAAGCCAGAATAACAACTCGTACTTGGCAAAAATTTTGATCAAAACACTCCACCTTTTAACATTATAAACAAAAATAACCAAAGTAAATTTCTTTCTAATCAGCGTGTCTATGCATTAAATGATCATTTACAAAGAAATTCATTACCAAAGTTTCTTTCTAATCAGCGTCTCTATCCCAGACAGCAAGCTTACATTGGACCAACGTTGGGCCAATACACGATGATGCATTGGCCCAACGTTGAAAGTCGATGTTGGTCCAATGCAGGTTTGATCATTGGTTAGGTATTGGCCCAATGTTGTGTTCAACGTTGGCCAATGTTGTATACAACGTTTACCCAATATTGGCCGAACGTTGTATATAACATTAGGCCAATATTGTATACAACATTAGCCCAACGTTGTATACAACATTGGCCCAATATCGTATGTTATACGATTATTATTTTTATATCGGCCTAACGTTTTATGCAACATTAGACCGTTGTTACAAATAAGATGATTTGCATCGCTACATTGAAAAATTATAGAGAAAAAAAAGAATGTATTACACAATGTAACAAAAAAAAAAAAAATTTTCTGTTTATCAAAATTTTTTGATGTTTCTTAATTAATTTGAGTATGCTGAGTCTGAATATGACATTGGATTTTTTATTGCATCAATCGTTTGGTCGTAAAACCAAAAAATCAATTAAACATATAATTAATATAAATCGTTTTGCATTAGATTCTACTTTAGTCAATATAAAACATTTACTAATTCAAAAGTGTTATGTTATGTTACAAAACTTCATGTTACATCATGTTTCTTACATATATTACATAATGTTACATTATATTGTATTGTAACAGTCTCTCACAATCTCAAAAAACACTAAAAGTGAACAGTAGAACGAGGTTTTCTTTTATGAAGTTTCTCGTCATCGCGTATCAAACACCAGATGTAGTCACCCATCATAGCTGCATCCCATCTGCCCTGGTATCTTTTCTCCATTGCAAGAATATCCTCATGGAAACGTTCCCCGTGCTCTTCACTCACATCACCCAAATTTGGTCTGAAAAATTCCAAGTGTGAATGCAGGTAATGCAGCTTTATTGACATTCTGCATTTCATATCTGCGTACCGTACAATTAAGTTTTCCACTATCTCTTTGTAGTTATCACTCTTATTGTTGCATAAAAAGCTATGAACAACATGTCTAAATGCAGTCCATGCTTCTTTTTCAACAGCAGACATTTTGTCCTCAAGCTCCTTACATGCCAACATAACTTTAATCTGTGGACCAACGAATATACCTGCTGAAATTTTTGCATCTGACATCTTTGGAAACATCTGCCGAATATGCTGGAATGCTGCACTATCTGGGTTTAATGCTTTGACAAATTGTTTGATAAGACCAAGTTTAATGTGAAGGGGTGGTAGTAAGATCTTTTCAACAGGTATCAGAGATTGATTAATAACATTGTGCGAACCAGGCTGTAAATGTTCTCTCACTGGCCACTCACGTCTTGTGAAGTGCTGGTTTGCAGCCCTGCTATCCCATAAACAAAGAAAACACGAGTACTTTGTGTATCCTCCTTGCAGACCGAGAAGAAATGCTAGCATCTTAAAGTCTCCACATACATCCCACTTGTAACTGTCGTAGTTGATTTTCTCAAGCAACAACTTCACGTTCTTATAGTCTTCCTTTAGATGAACGGAATGAGCTACTGGAATCGAAGGAAATCGGTTTCCGTTATGGAGCAAAACTGCCTTTAGACTTCTTGTTGAGCTGTCAATGAATAATCTCCACTCTTCAGGATTGTGAACAATGCCAATGTCATTGAAAAGACCACGAACGTCATGACAATAGCACAGTGATTCTGATACTACATAAAAGTATGCGAATGTTTCATGTCTTTTTCGGTATTTCGAGGTTCTGCAGCTTGGATCTAATAAATTCCATTCTTTCAAACGTGATGTCAGAAGTTCTGCATTTGATTTAGTGAGACCTAAATCTCGTACTAAGTCATCAAGTTCTTGTTGGTTAGGGAAATGAGGTGAATCATTTGGTTCCCTGAAATCACAGTCATCATTGAGTTCATCCGGTGAGTCTACTTCAGAATGATATGCAGCTGCTTCTTCGGATTGAGGTGGAGTAGGAACAGGCAATTCATCACTGTGTGGAACTGGTCCAATAGAAGATGGTATACTTGGATAAACTAGAGTCAGCCTATCTTTCGGTTTTTTATACTTTGAAATGTCAACAATGCAGAAAAAGCAGTCATCATGATGGTTCGTCGGTTCTCTCCATATTCTCGGAATCGCAAAGGGCATTGACTTTCGGATTCCACGCAGCCATCCTTCCAGAGTTGATCTGCAGCTACCACAACTGTAGTGTGGTGCCCACGATTTGTCCTGATCTCCCATAGCCATGCCAAAATAAGCATGATATGCAGTAAAGAATTTTGTACCACTGACAATCTTATGTTTAGCTTGTGTTGGACTAATATAGTAACCACAAACATAACAGAATGAGTCAGGACAAAGCTTGCAGGATCTACTAGATATATTCACTACTTCATGTAACAGTTGTAATTAGTTAAACTGAAAATAAACACACGAATATAGTTAAAATCAGCATATATATAATGTTTTAATTGCATTACACATATACGAAAACTCCGAAATATACTTTATGCTTTTTCTCAGGAAATCTTGATGATAGAGAAAAACCAATGGTACCACTGAAATCAGCATACAAAAATTATGTAAGAAACATTAAAAAATTAACATAAACAAAAATGTTGTTACATGGTGTTATACAAGTATACAAATTTATTTATGTAACATTATTTCTCGGTTAAATATACATATTGCAAACACCAAACTTAAACCAAAAACTGACAGATTGAGTTTTAGTTAAAAAAATTCACTAAAAAATTTATTATTTTTTCTTCCGCTATCTCTATCACATGTCTGCATAAGCCATGCTTATTTGACTTCACAGTTTCTGCAAAAAAAATAGTTGTTTGTTTAATTATGTACCAAACTTACATAACAAATTGAAAGTAATTCTGTAATGTAATATTGAAACTAAAAAAATAAACTTTTCTAAACCACTTACCAATAGCAAGATATGCAATCAACATTTTTCCTATTCCAATTTTTTGTCCTCTCCCTGCATATTTAATTTTATTGCTAGGCCATTTATAAAATCTATTCTTATTAAATAACATATACAATCTCCTTTGTCTTTAACTCCAATTTATGCCAAATAATTAACCTGCAAAAATGTGTTTTCTAGTTCACCAAGTTGCACTTCAATGCATGCCCATTGTGCCAATAATACCAGCATATCTTTCAAGGATACAACTTTATCTTGAAACAATAAAGTTAATTATATTATTAAGAAACTATACAACTAATTATATATTACATTAGAATTTATGAAAATAAATACAACAATCACTAATAAAATAGATAAAATTAAAGACAGAGGGGCAAATTTTTAATGATAAAAATATATACTTGCTAATGGATTCATAACATTTTTATGAATTATGAAATTTACAGGTGCGCATTCAATTTCTGACACTGACACAAAACAATTCTCGTTAATGTTTGAGATACAGATTGGACTGTAAAACAAAAAAATTTATATTAAAACAATGTTTTTCCAACAGGGTTCGTAGCTATTCGGTTCGTATCGGTTAGGTTCGTAACTATTTATATAAAAATCAATTACTTTTTTTGAAAAATCAGATGAATTTTCCCTGACCATTTTTTTAGTAATTTTAAACATTTTGTAAAAACAATGGTTTTTACAAAATGTTTAAAATTACTATCTACTGTAATGGAAATGCAAAGATTCAAATCCCACCTCTGGGTAAGTTTTGTGACATCAGAGAGGAGGCGTAAACTTCCAACTAAATGCTCATCCGTGGTGCTTTGTGATAAGACCGCAAGGATTTCTCCGAGCACCTAAAATAAAATTGAAAAAAATATATATGTTAGATAATTTTGTATATAAAAAAAGTAGAGAATTTTTAGATTTTCTTGAGAAGATTGTTCATGCTTTGAATGACAAAACTTATTAAACTTAGCTATTAGTTAAGTTGGATATTAGTATGGATCTTATTATACATGTTAGTATGGATCTTATTATTAAGGATGACTAAGAGTGAACACTAAGAAAAACATAAGTTTCAGAAAAAATAAATGGGTAGCACCAAAAAAAACATAATAGCTTAATTGAGCGCTGTATTTTGAAAATGTGACAATGCGGTAGTGGTGTAGTGGTAGAGCGCTCGCTTCATAAACGAGTGGTTCGGAGTTCGATCCTCACCACGTCCCTGGTAGTACCGCGCTCAACTCGTTTCTCCGCGCAGCGGCCTTGTTCATCAAGGTTCGTGTTTCGGAGTTATAGAGTTGAGAGAGGGTTATAGCCACAAATAAGTAGCCTCCTCGTCTGTAGTGGCCTTCTCGGCCTTGAGGAGGTGAATTAAAATAAATAAAAAAAAAAAAAAAAAAAAAAGTCACAAAATTAAAATTTTGCAGGAGAGTGAAAAATATTTCTCCTGTAAAAAAATTGTATTTTTATTTTATCTAAAAATTGTTTCTTTTATCTAAAAAAAATCTTTATTTTATCTAAAAAAATCTTTATTTTATCTTATAATTTTATCTTTTCCTAAAAAAAAATATTCTTTTCAAATAACCTAACTTTTAAAAAAAGTGTGACTCTTCACGTTTTCAAAATACTTTCAATTGTGAAACGAGTAACTTCTTAACTAGAACTACTGACTTTTCCATAACTATTTAAAGAAAAAAATAATTCCCTGACCTTTTCTAGGTTTTTCACGACTTTGGCTAATATTAACATATATTCCAGATTTTCCAGGTACAGTACAGACCTTGTTTAATATTTGTAAATAATTTTTTTTACATATTTTAGTTCTGAATTTTAATAATACAATTTTTAAAATAATATCATCTATAAAAATATTGTATTACCTTTGTCTATTAGATAAATTTAAATAAACATTTATATAATGAATAATAATAAAACACCAGCAACTGTTAAAACTTTAAACTGATATGAATACTCTGCTGTTTTTTTTAAGAGTTGATTTCAAATGGATTTTAAAGTTGGTGACACCAACTGTGAAATCCAACAAAAAATTTTTTACATTCATAAACTTAAATGTTCTCAAAACAACTAAAAAACCTGGCCAGTTTTTCGCAACAAAATATAATTTCGGTGGTCAGTATTCATAAGTGATTGCTCCCGGTTCCTGACCAAGCCTGTGGTGTAAGCTTTGATATGTTGATTATTATACAATAAAATGTTAATTAACACTCTGACTTTTTGACCGTAATATATGAAAAAGTCTTTAAATTGTAAAAGTTAAAGCTATGAATAAAGATTTTCAATCATCAGACATAAAGACTTTTATATAAAAACTTACCATTTATTAAATTTTGTTCATTCAACTTCTCAGAGCAAACATTGAACTTTTGTAAAGAGTTTGGAGTTAAAGGTATATCATAAAGTTTAAAAATATTTTATGGTTTACTTATAAGAAATTGAGGATAAATCATCTACACCAAGATATACACAATTTTTTGTCTCTTTAATCTTTTTTTTCACTGGTCATTTTTCGCAGTCTTTCCTTTTTGTCTCCGAAGCAGAAGTTTAGCCTTCTGCTAGATTCAATCTTGTATTGCTATAAAAATCTATAAATCAAATCATTAATAATTAAGTTATAACTAAAATTAATGTATAAGCTTAAAGTTGTTAACTGTTGTACGCAAACTAAATATGAAAATTATTCAGAGATATTAAATTAAAAAATAATAAAACTAAGAATAATGTCCGTCTGCTTTAGAAAGATGGAATATATAAAGGGTTGTTTTAATTTAAATTATGATTTAAACCAGACAAATAAAAATTAAGTATTTTTAATTTAAGTATTTTTATTTTAATTATTTTTAATGATTATTTATTGATTTAATCTCATAATTCAATCAATTATTATATATCAATCATTGGTCTTAAAATAAAATGTCTGGCAATATTAGAAAGATCTACATAAGTAGAATATAAATTCTAGTAACATCACTTTTAGTACACTGTTTTAATATGTTAGTAAATGGGATTTCACAATCAAGCACAGATCAAAAATCAAACAAAAGAGACATACTTAAAATGTAAAATATCAGCTTTTAACAACTTCAATGCCACATATATATTATTGATACCTTTAATAATATATCTTATAATAGCTATATAATCTAAACTATTATAAATAAATTATGAAAAAAAAATTGTTTTTTCATAATTTATTTATAATATTTTTTTCATAATTTATTTATAATTATTTTTTATAATTTATTTATACTGTATGACATTTTAAATGTTTGATTTATTTAATAAAGAAGACATTTAAAATGTCTTCTTTATTAAATAAATCGAACATTTGAAATGTTTCATTTATTTAATAAAGATTATTAAATAAATCAAACATTTGAAATGCCAATACAGCAATAGAAATAAAAAAATAACTTTACGATCTTACACAAAAATAATTTGATTATTGCCTTTATTTTTACGTTAATAATTTAGATAAAATGTTTTAAGCATATTGTTTAAATGTTAACAAATATTTCATTATTTAAAAAAACAAAACATCAAGTCACGAGAATCTCTTGAAGTTTATTACTTATAAAGAACCTTTTAAGGTTCTTAGAAGATTCATAAATATAGCTTCTTTTTTTCATATTAGCTACGGTATAAAGGTAAGAACAGATTTTTATAGCAAAATATTAAGCCTAAAACTACATCAGCCAAATGTTGGTCCAACGTAGTACGATAATTGCAAAAAGCCGATTTGTAGAATTGCAATATTACGCCGAAAAAAAAACATTGGTTAAATGTTGGCTCAATATAGTACGATATTTGCAAAAAACCAATTTGCAGAATTGAAAATAATACGCCGAAAAAAAGCATTGGCTAAATATTGGATCAACGGAATAAACTTGTCACTGTTAAAACTTACGTTGGGCCAATGTAAGCTTGCTGTCTAGGATGCATTTAATGATCATTTACAAAAAAATTCATTATCAGAATTACCTGGATTTCGCGATATAAAGGATCAACTTAAGTCAGAATTTTATAAAATGTCTGTTTTTTAATTGCATTGTGAAAATTTGATTTTTAGAGAAAAAGTGGAGCTACTTTTTCATGGATCTATTCCTATGCAAAGTTTTGCAACTCTAGGTCACCCGTTAGTTAATAAACATAATCATTTTTTGCTAATAAAAGTATTAACACGCCAAAAAACTTTTTTCCTTATAGAAATACACTGATAAACAGCCCAAATAACTTTTCTGAAAAATTGCATTCATCAAAAGATTTCCTTCGGGTCAGAGCTACGTCACAAATGTCAGGAAATAAGTCTACTATTATGGATTAGGGAAAACAAATAATTTTATAGAGACGGTTGATGGATGTTTCCATACCGCAAAGTCAGGTGGCGTCTTTAGGTTCGCAAATTTTGTAATTCTATTCCACATAATTATTTTAGGCATGAATAATTATTTGTTTTGATACATTTACGGTATTTGTTTCTGTTTAATTACGGTACAGAAACATTCACTACCTAACGAAATAACGTGTGAAAAACGTAATTTTATAACTTTGCTTTAACTTTTGAATTAATGAACTTAATTTAAGTTCATTTAAGTCTTAACTGTAAATATTATTTGGATTTATGACAAAAAATATCTAGTTGGCTGTATTTATATATTTTACATCATATTTAATATTAATGTATACATTAAAATTAAATATGATGTAAAATGCAATAAGCATATTGAATATAATTTGTTTATATTAAAGTTTTTTATGATTTAAAATAAGTTCTTCCCCTTATCTATTTATTAGAAATCAGGCTAAGACAAAAAACTATTAGGATTTTTTTTAAACTTTTTTATAAATAATATTTAAATAAATGTTTCGTTTCGATAAAAAATACACAAGTTTTTATAAATTATTTATTTGTGGTTGTTTATTTATTCTTTTTTCTTATGTGTGTAAATTGTATAATTAATTTCATTATTTTATAATATTATTTATTTATGATAGTATTTTTTTTATGTCATTACTTTTTGCTAAGCTGCTAAACATAATTTTGCACTCTCTAATTTGCTTCTAATAAGCTGCAAACAAACAGGTTTAAGTTGTGGGTTACTAGAAAATAAAGAATAGTGTTAAAGAGCAAGAAAACAGTTGACAGAAGACTTTAAAAATTGAAGAATGTGTGAGTTAACAAAACAGGATGTTGGGAGAGAATCCTTAAGCATTGGTAAGCAAAAAAAAAAATTTGAATCCTAAGGTCACTTAAGATGAAAGATTTTCAGGAAAAACATAAATTTAGATAAAAAAAAAGTACAGAATAGAACATTGTTATATCCCTGTAGTTATTGAAAATGAAGAGGATTGTTGCCTTTCAAACATATATAATACTGTGATCAGAAAGAAATGGTTTAATAATCTCTTTAATAAACCTTATGAAAATAAATATAAAAAAAAACATAAAAAAATTTCTTTTTTTTTCAGGTTTCGTTAAAAAATTAGTGCTAGATTTAAAAGTCTGATTTTTTTAAAATTAACATTTATTGCAAATTTTGAAATGTAATGCAATAATTGATAATTGAGATTTTAATTTAATGAAAAGCAAAAAAAAGGTTCTGCAGTAATCTTATACAGTTTTAAACATGCATTTAACTACTAATTCAAAATTGCATATATAGAAAAAATGTAAAAACAGTTTCAGAGAAGATTTATTAAAATTAAATATTATTTAGTAATGAGCTAAAATAAATTAAATGAATTATTTTTAAATTAAATATTAATTTAAAAAATTAAACATTATGTTTAATTTATGTTGGTATCTGAATCTCAGTTGTCTCTTTATCTTCTTAAATATTACATTTCTGTTTTACCCAAAATTTTACTTAATGGATTACTTTTAAGACATGAATATTTAAAAAGCAGTGATCAAAATGATTAAAAATAATTATGACAATAAAAAAGTTACGACAATTTTTAATGTCCTATGCAATAAGATTAGAACAAGAAATGCAAAAGCAAAATGACACGTTATTTATGAATATAAAGGATTGTGTTTTTTTTTTAAAAAAAAAAAACAGTTAGTATCTGGGAGCCTTGTTTTGAATACATTTTTTTTTTTGCAGAAAATAAAATGTTATCAAAATAAAAAAACAATTATTTATATAGTGTATTTGATTTTTTTTAAGTATTCACCCTAATGTGCACAACAACAAAAATCTATAAAAGCTTTTTTTTTTAAATATAGTGTTTAAAATAAATATAGTGTTTTATTATTTAAACATGCACAAGAACACAAGGAAAAATATATATATACACATTTAATTTGTATATCTTGGTGAAAATTCAAGTTAAGTAAAGAGAGATTAAAAACAGTAAAACACTAAATACATACAATTTTCATTATCCCTTTAGATCGAAGATAAAATCTTTTGTGAGGATTTCCAACTTTCCATTGTTCTACTTTTTTTACAAGACATTCTTGGTTAATGTTTGAATACCTTTTTTTTCTTACTGCTTCTTACATGTAACAACGAATAGTTTTTTTGGATGGGAAGAACCCATTTGCGTTTTGCATTCGCTTAATTCAACCCTTGTTGTTGCATTAAAATTATACAAAAAATTTCACAAACAAATTGCAATTTGTGTTTTTGCTATCCACTTAAAAAAAAATTAAGAAAAGGAAAATCATTCTTTTTATTGTAGACTTCAAACTGTTTTTTTTTTTGCTTCGCCTTATCTAATTTTGTTGCTGAATGTAACTCTAAAGAAACAAAAATAAAAACAGTACACAAATAATTTAAATTATTAATTTGCTTTTATTTTTTTCTATTTTAATCTCTTTTTATTTTGTGAGTTTTTTTTGTTTGTTTTGTTTTTGAAACTTTTTCAGCATTATTATAAAACTTGCAAACGGCCGTGTTCACCTTTTCTAAAATAATATAATCGCGTGTTGTCATACAAGACAAAAAACCGCACGGATTTCCTGGGAAGGCTTGTAATACAGTTTTCAAAAAAAAAAAAAGATTACAGATGTTTTTTAAATTATGAAAAACAACAGCTATTAGAATTGTTAAAAGAGTAAGTTTTCATTTAGATGCAGCCAAAATATTTAAGTAAAGAAAAACTTAAAACACTTATTAACATCCAATTTTTAATTTCTACAGTAAGCACTTAGAGTGGTCTTATAAATCTTTTTTTAATACTAGCAGTCTTCTATAAGTCTTTCTCTTCCAGTAAGTTTTTAACAAAGTGACTATTTGCCCAACCAAAAGGAAAAACTGCCTCAGATTATCATTCAGTTTATGTATACATCAATCTATATACACTGTGCGTAGAGTGCACATTTATCGATTTTAATTATCATACATCAACTTTATGATACATCACCGCTACAGTGAGGTATAATACAGTTGAAACATGATAATCGATATACACCTAGTGATCGCATACAGTATATAACCACTGGGCGTATTCCTATTCAATTGAAGTTAGTAGATGAATCTATATTCCCCTGTGCCTATCCCTATTTAATTTCGTTAATGCATTTGCAGTCAATACAGGGCATATGTGCGTACACAGGACGTATCTATAGTCTGCGCAGATTTATGCACAATCCGCAAAATGTATGTATGTGCGCTATGCAGATTGCAGAAACATCAAATTTACACATCAAGTGTACATACATGCATGAACATTTAATGGATGTGCACTTAATCTATGTAAATCGATTTATTTACATTATTTTTATATACACTATGCTGCATCTATGGTGGATCAGAATGCATATACATGATCGAGATCAGAGTGCATATACATGATACAAGTGCATATACATGAAAATACGGATAGGTCAAGTGGAGTTACATACATACTTGCATACATCAACTTACTTAAAAAAAAATAACTAAAAAGTTATTCTTTACATTGAAGTAGATAATTTTGTAGTTGCAGTCTATAACTTGTAAACTTATGTAAATAAGTTAAATAAATCACGCACATCATAATAATAAAAACTGGCTTCATTTGTCTGGTTGGACAATTATTGTTATAGGTTAGTCATATGTCTAGTTGGACGAATATCACCAGCCTATTTTTAAACAAAATACATTTCCAATTTTGCAATTATTTGCTAACAGCGCACTAATTCCGCTTTATTAAAAATTAAAAAAAAAGTATTTTTGTCATGTCATACTTGAACTAACCACCCCTCCCCCATGTGACATTTGGTGATACTTCTATTACCCCTACACCTCCTTTAGGACTGTCACCTCATAAATGTTTAAAATTACAGTGCCCTTGCTTACACATCTTTACAAGATGTTTTAATTGCACTTTCACTTTTGTTTTGGTTAAAACCATTATCTAGATAGACTGATCAAAGTCACATATAACATTGTGTTTGCTATACTCAAAGTAAAATATCAAACTGACCTTCCTTTTCGTGGTATGATGAACTTCAAATTTCAATCCAATGGGTCTTGAATTAGAGGCTCTATTTACATCTTTATTCTAAATTGAAAAATACGTCATTCTACTTGAGTTTTTACCTAGACTTATTTGGTTCCTAACAAAATATTTTTTTAATTTTGATACTTTGTCAATGTTTTATAAACATTTTTTTAAAAATAACAGGATAACAATTGTATTTGCAAATATTGTTATATATAATTTTATAATATTGAAGTTGAAGAAATATTTGACCGTTACAAACTAAAGTAATGTTGAAATACCATTTAGTTTGTATATCAAAACATACAAAAGTAAAGTTTTTTTCTTTAAAAAATAATCATTAAAAACTAGATAAATAAAAAATGCAGCCAGGCACAAATAATAAATCAGAAATCGATAGAACTTTTTTTTTTTAAAGTCTAGTATTATGCTGCTAAATAATAATGCATAATCTTTATCAGCAAAAAAACACAGCATAACAAATAAAAATTGGCGGCGATAATTTTGGTCCGCCGATAAAAATGACCCCGGACTAAATTTCTCAGAAAATATAATATATTATATCCGGCCGGATAATTTTTTTCTGAAAAAGTTGGTCTGAGCTAGAAAAAATCGGTCCGTGTTATGCATATGCGCATATATCTTTTAAATTATCATGGAAGACGTGGAAGACTTTGTTCAAAAAGTTTTTACTTATTTAAGTAAAAAGCAATACCCTGATGGAAGTCTAGAAGGCGAAAAAAGAGTCATTAGAAACAAAGCCTTAAAGTTTATGATTTCGGAATTACTATATAAGTATAAAAAGAAAGACAAGGTAACTCGTTTATATATAAATATTGGTAACAATATTTATATAAATACACACTTACTATTATTATTATTATTATTATTATTATTATTATTATTACTATTATTATTGTTATTATTGTTATTATTATTATTGCTATTATTATTATTATTATTTTTATTATTATTATTATTATTATTTTGTTATTATTATGTTTTTAGGTGATGGTAATATTATTAGGGTTGCCATTCTCCTTTTTTTTCCGTAAGAGAGCGCAGTGAAAACTTTAATTTTAATTAGTTTAGCGCAGCGTTCTCCTAGGGAAAAAAGAGGAGAATGGCAACCCTAAATATTATGTAAATACATGTTTAACTACTTTACTATCATTATTACTTATTATTGATATATTTTAGCTTTAATTTTGATTTGATGTTTATTTTTATTTTGATAATGAGTTATAAAATCATATTATTGTTTCTGTTATTATTTTCGTTGATGTTTATATTGATGTAATGTATTTTCAAACTATTTTTTACTTTATTTGTATAACTGTTTGATAGCTTAACTATGTTTATATCTTTAACTATGTTTATTGTATTTGTTAGGAATTTATTTTATACTAGTACATATATTATTGTAAATATCCTTGAAATGTTAACAACTAATTTCAGAGTATATTTAATTTGATTTGAACAAGGTAATAAACAAATACTGACAATTCAATGCTTGATTTATCAATATTTATTCATAACAATTATTTATTCTAAAATAAACAGCAGTTAATGTTATTCATTATTTAGCCTAATTCATCAAATTTAACCTAAATTTGAAATTTCTGCAAGCTAAATTTTAAATTAAGAAATGATATTCAAATTAATATACATGTAACATATAATATAGCAATACAGCTCAAAAAAATAAAATTGTAAATTGTTTTTATTTATGTTTTGCAACTTTATTTGATTTTTATATTTTTCTGTATTTTTTGCCATAGCTTATTAATGACATAGTTTTAATAACTGAATATAACAAAACAAAGTTATAGATAATATCATTATCATTTTAGCATCGTTGCTAAATGCTACCTTTCTGGGTATCAAGTTTTTGGGTTCAAATAGTTTGCATCTTTACATTCTATATTTCCAAACAACCTTAAAATTTCCTGATAATCTCAACTTTATACACTGATTTTCTCTCCAATTTCTTTATACATAAATCTATTTATATATGAAACTTTATTACAAAAATATATCCTTAAACTTATATGTAATGAAACTATTTTGGATATCCGAAAAATCAAAAAATAGAGAAAATATCAGGAATTCCAGAAATATCCAGAAAAAGATATTCCTTGAACATTAATATTTTTTTTGTAACTTCTATTTTTATTTTTGGATTTTGTCTAAAAGAGAAAAGACATCAATGGGAGAGTCAGCCCAAATGTAATAAGTACACTTATGATAATTGTTGCTGAAGTTGCTCTTTTTAATTTCTAACCTAAATTATTCTCTTAATTCACATGCTTTTCATTTCTTTTCAGCTTTGAAAACGTCCCTATAAAATTTTTTTACATACCACTTTCTTTCTGATCAATAAATTTCTTAAACTTTAATAAATAAATTACACTTAAATGAAGATAAAATAATAATATATTATTATATCTTTCTAAAGAGTTCAAATGTGATGATCTCAGAGATCAAAAGTGATGATCTTGAAAAGGAATCTAATGGTGTATTTGTTAGGGTGCACTAGGGAAAATTAAGTTGGTTTGGGTATGTAGAGCGTAAAGGTGCTACTGATTGGGTATCAGCATTTAGAGAGAAGTTTTATAAGAAAAAGAGAGGTAGGTATAGAAAATTTTTGAAAAAGTTAAAGAAAGACGATGCACAAGATTGATGAAACATGCAGTAGCAAATTTAGTATAAGGCATGGGGGAGAACTGCCACACACACACACACACACACACACACACACACACACACACACACACTTTCCCTAGAACAGTCAAACGACGCCCTTTAAAACATTCAAAAATATGTATATGTATGTAATATATATGATAAAAGTCATGTAAAACCAAAAGTGATTAAATACCAACAACAACAACAACAACAAGCTATTTAATTTCTGTTTATCATTTTACAATAGTTTTGATAATATTAATAATAGTAGTAATTATAGCAAAAATATATAATAATAACATAAGATAAAAATACCACCAGATTTGTTAGTCCTTGGGCTTGACCTTAACCTTGGCTTTTCCTTAGGGCCAAAAATTGAAGTCTTGGCCTTGAAACTGTTGGCCTTAGCCTTGAAAATTTTTGCCTTGGCCTTGATTGTTTTGGCCTTGGCCTTAAAAAAAAATACATATTTTCTTATTGATTTCATTAAATTCTTTCCATAACCTTAGTCTATTTTTACAAAATGTGGTTTTCTTGTCACTGTACTTGCTGCTTACATAAATACCATCTTAATCAATCGTTTAAAATGTTAATCAGGGCAAGAAGCACCAAAAAAAATATTTTAGTTTTAAAAATGTTGATTCGAAATGTGATTCGAAACGCGAATCAAGACCTGCTTTGATTAAAGATTTGGTTTAAAACAAAAAATGCTGATTTGCAGAGCTCTAATGTATATGGTACAATTATCAAAATCTATCATTCAGTTTTTCATGAGGTTGGGAGTGCCAAGAGTTTTGCTGTCAGATAATGGGTCTGAATTTTGCAATGAACTTAATAATACCCTTAATGTATTGCTTGATATAAAGAAAAGGCTCACAACTCCATATCACCCACAAGTAAGTTAAATTTTTAATTAGTTTAATTAGTTTAAATTATTTAAATTATAAAACAATTTGTTTTCCCTTTAAGGTTAATGGACTTGATGAACGATTTAATCAGACTTTGCAGAATATGCTAGTAAAATATGTATCCTACAAAAAGGAAAAATGGGGTCTTTTTCTAGATATCTGTGCATTTGCGTACAATACATCTTGTCATGAGTCCACAAAGTTCACATGTTTTCAATTGATGTATGGTTGACAAGTATATCTTCCAATTAATGTAGATTTCCAGACAGAGTCTTTGGAAGAATTAAGTTCAAATTATTTTAAATTAAAGGAGCCAGACATATTGCAAAGAGAATACAGGTTAGTTTTAGAAGAAGCTGAACAAAATATTTTAAAAGCTCAAGTTAAGCAAAAAAAAATTATGATAAAAAGCACTCAAAATCTTGAGTCTTTAAAGTCAATTCATTGGTTCTAAAATTAAATCATAGACGTTAAAAAACCAAAGGAGGTATGTTAAATGATAGATTTGTAGGCCCATATAAAATACTTAGTTGCCTTCCTCATGGAGTATACAAACTTCAAGATAATAAAGGCGTTACGATTCGTGCTACTGGTGGTCATCTTAAAATCTATAAACCTTTAGGTCCTACTTTACAAATTTGCAAAACATGTTCTTCTGATGAAGAAGTTCTTGATAATCAATGTTTTGATGATGAAGTGACTTCTCCGAATCCCTCAGTCTTTGAATCATCAGACTCAATATCAACTATTGAATCATCAGACTCGATATCAGAAAATAAACCAAATAATGATAACTATGAGGGTTTAAATAAAACTCCTCCAAAATCTAGTACCTGGTAATGGCTCACCTTCAGTAGATGCACTAAACTATGCTAATGAGTGCTTAAAAGAAAATATAAATAGTTTCACTATTGATGATACACATTCAAAAGTTAAAATAGAAGATGAAATCCATCCAATGAATTTAGTTTGTTCTTGCCAAAATAGATGTGCTACTAGGCGATGCCCTTGCAAACAGTTTGGTGTGGTATGCAAGAGTCATTGCCATCCAAATAGAATATGTTTAAATAGACAGGAAGCTTTTCAAGCAGAACTTATTTGTCTTGAAGAAGAAGTATGCACAGAAGAAGAGACCGTTTCTATTGGTGGTGATGATTTTACTCATATTAGAAAAGTAGCACTTTCAGTAGATGATAAAAATATTTTGATAAATGGCGACTGGCTAAATGGCACAATTATTTATTCCGGAATGCAAATGTGCTTAAAGATGCTTTTCCTTATTTATCAGGGTTTGAAGATCCCGTTTTACAGTTAACAAATAGTTTTGAGGTTCAAAAGAATAAAGAATTTATTCAGTGTCTCAATTACAATGGTATGCATTGGATCACTATAGCTACATTAGGCTGTACACAGGGGACTGTCAGGGTTTATGACAGCTTGCATAATAAGTTGAAATTGCTGCTA